GAGGAGAGGGAAGGGGGAGGAGCAGAGGGAAGGAGGAGGAGGAGGAGGAGGAGGAGGAGGAGGTTGAGGGTGGAGGAGGAGGTGGAGAAGGAGGAGGAGGAGGAGGAGGCGGTGGCCCTCACTCGGCCCAGGGATTGTCAGGCAACGATTGAGGGGAGGAGCCCGTCCTGGGGAACTTGTCTGGGCCTCTGGGGCTCCACGTCGTGGCAAGAATCACGGCGCCAGATGGCTGGGTGCGGGATGAGGGACGTGGTTGGCTGAGCGCCTCCGGCCGCCAGCTCTGGCCAGAACGGTTTCGGCGCGAGACTCTAGCCACGTCCATTAGGCGGGCAACGTGTATATCCACCTCAAACGCGTCTTGGTGTTTCTGGCTCTCATGCCCGGGAACATGAGGCGCACTGGTTTGTCCCCAAGAGGCTCGATGTTTGTCCATATCCAGCGCGCCTCGGCCTTGTGGCGCCCCTTCCAAGAAAGTCCAAGAAGCACTGTATATGGATATAAGTATTACCCGCATCTTAGGTGTCTATCGTTTGGTAACGAGAAGGGGGCGTGCACGAAATCCCTCCAAACGGTCAGGGGGTCATTTTGATTGCGTAGGTGGCGTTGCCGCGTGCCGCGCATTGCTTTCCCTTGTTCCCCTGGTAGTTGGCCGTCTCCATTCTTGCACGAACGCAGAATTGCGGCCGCGCGAATACGACGTTCGTGTCGCGCAGACACGAGGTTGTTTCCGCGCGAACGCGACATTGTTTTCGCACGAGCACAGAGCTAAGCCCGCGCGAACACGACATGAGTCACGAATTGCGTGCGGTACGAACTCTGGCACGAACTGCAGCACGAAATGGCGCACGGAAATGCTCGCGCGAAACAGTTACACTAATGTCTCAGGCGGTTATTGGTTTTTGGAGACGCGCAAAAAGCGGGGCTGGGCGCTCGCAGCCGAGTCCAGGGATTTAAGTCGGGGACCTTTTCGCGCGGCCATTCAAGGCGGCAGTTCTGGGGCCGCTTCGCGCGGCCAGTTTCGTACGATTTCGTACTCCCCTCCTTCCTTTGTTTCCTCCCTCCCCTCCCCCGCCTCCTTCCTTCCCTCCGCCCAATCAGTGTTTGAAGTCTGCTCACGTGGAGCTTCCATCTGGCCTCAAACGAGGACGCATTTGAAGTGCCCACCTGCACGGGAATTCAGTGTCCTACGCACCCCCGGGTGTATGAGTGTATTGTTGTTGTTGTTGTCGCACTCCTGCATCGTCCTCCCGGCCGCCCGTGCTTGTCGGCTGCCGCCAGCGAGCAGGATCGCCTGCCACACCCTGGCGGGCTGCCAGGGATGTTCCTCCCGCCGTGCCGCAGGCAACGAGTCGCATGCAAGTGCTGGAGGAGGGGGAGGAGGAGGAGGAGGAGGAGGAGGAGGAGGAGGAGGAGGAGGAGGAGGAGGAGCAGGAGCAGGAGCAGGAGGAAGAGAAGGAGGAGGAGGAGGAGGAGGAGGAGGATGGGATGAGGAGGAGGAGGAGAGGAGGAGGAGGAGGAGGAGGAGGAGGAGGGGGCGTCCAGGGCACTTCGTGGCCCATTCCGTGCCCTGTTTTGTCTCCGATTGGTCAGCTTTTGTGACGCGTCCCTCTTCCCAAGCAGCAGCGTCCCGAGCCGTTCCACGCCGCCCGACACGCGGAGCGGAGCTGCGCGCTACCAGCTCGTAGGGCATCGCTCGTCACCAGGGGCCGCCGCCGCGACACGCCAAGCACAAGCTCCTGACTGTATATAGGATGATGACAAACGAGCGACGCAAAAAAACGGGGTCGCCTGTGCCGACAGTGGCGCGTAAGTTGCCCGCGCAAGGTCACGCGTGAGTGCCCTCGTCTCCAATTTAGCGTGCATCGCGGGCGGCCCGCGTAAGCCGCGGCGTAAGGTCGCTGTGCCATCTCGCGTAAGACCCGTTTTCGATCGTCGCTCACATGGTTCTGGAGAGCGCCCTCATCGAACCGCTCTCAGAGCGATCAAAAGCGCTCTCAGAGCGGCCGTGGCGCCCGATGTACATCCTTCGGGGGCCCTCAAAAGGTCACATGATCGACGCAAAGAAACGGGGTCGTCTGCGCCGACAGTGGCGCGTAAGCTGCCCGCGCAAGGTCGCGCGTAAGCGCCTTCGTCTCCAACACAGCGTGCCGCGCTGGCGGCCCACGTAAGCAACCGCGCAAGGTCACTGGGTCACCTCGCGTAAGATCCGTTTCTGATCCTCGGCCATATTAGTATTTTTTGGGACTCAACGCCTTCTGAGCCCACAGTGCACAGGCAGCGGTTGCTGGATGCCACTGCCTTACTCTCGACTCCTCCCAAGTTAGGAGGAGATGAGTGCCGGCGCGGAGAGAGCCGCACCAGCCACCTGCCAGGCAGGAAAAGGCGAGCCCGCAGGCACACGCACGTCACACGCCAGTGCCCTGCAGGGAGAAGGCAACTTGGAGAGCCGACTGGCCCTCTGAGGGCCTGGCATCGCTCGGACGCGTGAATGTTTTTCTCGGCGAGGACCCTGGAGGAGCACCCTTGATCATCGAGCCGAAGAACACGCGCACGACACCGGCAAAAAGCACAGGGCATGGACGTCCGAGCGACGGGGAGAGGGGCGCAAGGGGAAAGCTCTGGCATGTCGGCAGCTGAGCCCGTGGCTGGCTGGTAACCCCCGGGGCCTGCGGCTGGCCCGCCGGCCAGCGCGCGCGCGCGGGCCGCGAGGCCCGGCTGGCGAGCCTCGCGGGCTCCGCCGCGGACTCGGCCAGCCACGGCGCGCAGGCTCTCGGGGCCCTCGGGGAGGGGAAGAGGAGGAGGAGGAGGAGGAGGAGCTGGAGGAGAAGACGCAGGAGGGGAAGGAGGAGGAGGGGAGGAGGAGGGGGAGGAGGAGGAGGAGGAGGAGGAGGAGGGAAGAGGAGGAGGAGGAGGAGGAGGAGGAGGAGGAGGAGGATCAGGAGGAGGAGGAGGAAGGGGAGGAGAGGAGGAGGAGGTGATGAGAGGGCAGGAAGGGGAGGAGGATGGGGGAAGGGAGGAGGAGGTACAAGGAGGGGGAGGGAGGAGGAGGAGGAGGAGGAGGAGGTAGGAGGAGGAGAGGAAGGAGGAGAGAGGAGGAGGAGGAGGAGAGGAGGAGGAGGGGAGGAGGAGGATGAGAGGAGAAGGAGGGAGGAGGAGGAGGAGAGAGGAGGAGGGAGGAGGGGAGGAGGAGGAGGAGGAGGGCTGGAGAGAGAGGAGGGGAGGACGAGGAGGAGGAGGAGGAGGAGAGGAGGAGGAGCTGGAGGAGGAGGAGAGGAGGGGAGGAGGAGGAGGAGGAGGAGAGGAGGAGGAGGAGGAGGGGAGGGTGAGGAGGAGGATGGGAGAGGGGAGAGGAGGAGGATGAAGAGGAGGGAGGAGGAGGAGGAGAGGAGGAGGAGAGGAGGAGGAGGAGGAGGAGGAGGAGCAGGAGGAGCGAAGGAGCAGGAGGAGGAGGAGGAGGTGGAGGAGGAGGATGAGGGGGCAGGGGAAGGGGAGGAGGAGGGGGAAGGGAGGAGGAGGGAGAGGAGGAGGGGTAGGAGGGGGAGGGGGAGGAGGAGGAGGAGGAGGAGGAGGAGGAAGAGGAGGAGGAGTAGGAGGAGGATGAGGAGGAGGAGGAGGAGGAGGAGGGGAGGAGCAGGAGGAGCTGGAGGAGGAGGAGGAGGAGAAGGAGGTCGACACAAGGGGCGCGGGGTCACGCAGCGGGCGACAGGCCAAGCACACGAACCTCCATAGGGAGGTCCGCCGCGAAGCGAACGAGACCACACACCGAAGCAACTTATCACACGTCTTCGAGGCCTTGGAGTTCTCCCCACGGCATGCTCGAGTGTTTTTTGCTCTCGCGCACGCGGGCACAGTACGGCTCTCAATCGCATAGGTTCTGCCACGCGAGTAGGCAGATCATGTGGCAGGTACCGCACTTCTGTCGATGCTGAACACATAGATGCGCTGATGGGTGTAACGACTCATGTTCAGCCACCATCAAAAGTTGCCAAACACGTCGCAATCCCAGCTCCATCCCCCACATGTTCGCCGCCCGCAGGCAAAGTGTAACAATGGAGCGAAGATGCGCCTACCTTGACGCCACGTCTTAAACTCCCGCCGATCGTACCAAGCGTTTCTATTGCTCCGTTTCCATCGCCTCCACCGACGTATACACCCCCGCACTTCTCAAGGGGCCTCGGACCACACAATACATACACATAACAATGCGCCCCATAGTTTCCCATATTTTCTGGGTGTCTGGCTTCCCCTCCACTTCCCATATTTTCCCATATTTCCTGGGGAATCCACCATTCATTGTGTCTGTGTGTTTCTTTCCCTCCTGAACTTCTTTGTTTCACAGGAGCCGCCGCCGCCAATTGGACAGCCGCACCATATCAATCAAACGCGGGAGGCTCTGATCAAAGTTTGAGTTGGATACGTCAGGCAAGATACTTCGTGCATCCAGAGTGACGTGACTTGTACATTGAGCAACAATGACACATTTGCATTGAACCCCAGTGAATCATTTGCAACGGATTTGCAATTTGAGTTGGGCAAATTGTCTGATGAAGACAAGGCCGATTCTAACTTAAGTGCAGATGCTTCAGACTTGAACCATGCGACGCCAAGTGGGGAGCAGTTGGGTGGCAAAGCGACCGCGGCAGCAGAGTTTGAACATTTTGTCAACGTGGACAACTGGACGGACTGACGTGCTCGAAAAATTCTGGTTGAACGGACATGAAAGTACCATGGAGCCATTGGGAATTATCGGCCGAACGATATACATTCGTTTCAGGCCGTACTTCACTCAAGGCCCTGTTGTTGGCACACTATCAGAACTTGTATCCGAATTCTTGTGGTCAGCAGTTCGGCTGGATTGCCATACCGACCTCGTCAACCATCGCGTATTCGACGTTATAAAGAGGCACGTTTGCGATAACGGAGACATCGAGGACGTCATTGAGGATATGTTTCATGACGAAGGATTGTTCGATGGCAGGTAGCAACTTCCAAGCTTTTGCTTCATGAGCAGTAGCCGTCAGAACGAACACACGTTGCAGTTCACGTTTGTAAATTGGGAGGCCGTTGGGGGCCATTGAAGTGCGCAGTCCTTTTGCAGTTGGGGCCGTTCGATGTCGCAGTACGTATTTCGTTTACATTCTCATCACGCCAGATCTTGGCGTTAGGGGGTCCTGAGCGCGTCGACCGCCCAGTGACAGTACTGAGCGTGTTGGCCGCCAGCGGCAGCCTGGCTGTCCCAAACTGGTCAGCCTTACCTTCGCCATTCTAGCATATCCCCTCCTTCTTGTATACCTCCGACTCTCCCTCCACGTCCGTCCGGCTTCGCAATGTTCGCAGTGCTCTCGTTTGTCATCATGGTTTGCAGGCCCACGTCGAGGCCTATGTCGATGAGGGGGAGGAGGCTTGTTGGAGTAAGGAAGCGGTGGAGAAATCCATGTTGATCGGTATCCCAGCAACTAGCGCCGTTACGACAAGTGACAAGTGCACCTTACTTATCCCACACGGCTCGAGTATCCCGAAGAGTCCACCCGTGCAAATTGGAGAAGGATTGGCGACAAAACACGTGGGTCTGGGAGCCGAGGAGGTTTGGGGTGGACCGTACAAGTCCTGGGCAGCAGCCCGAGAATTGCTGCACTTGTAGCTGGTGTGTTTCAGCAGCTCGTCGCCCTAGTTGCAAGCCGCAAAGGGCATCTTAGATTGGCCCTGTTGAGGGCTTTCGGCGAAGGGCGCAGTTGACTTGGGCATGGTGGGAAGTGATGGTGTGGGGCGGGTGGGATAGATTTAGCCGGAGAGACGCCCGCAGTTTTGACCAAAAGCGGGGCCCGCAGCTTTAACCCAAGATTTGCCGACGATCCCGTGGGGAGGCCACGCCATCTGAATGGATCGGAAGAAATTCAGTACCTCTCGAAGAAAAAACAACGCCATCATAAACGGTTGGCGCTCCGCGCGGGTTTCTTGGATCCGCGCTGGGGCCCTCTGGGCAGCGCGCTCTGCGCGCCAGGGAGGGGGGTGAAGCGCAGATCTAAAACATCCTCGCGGAGCGCCACAAGTTTCTGTTTATGGCGTTTTGTTGTGCTTCTAGCTTCCACCCTCGCCTTCACACCGTAGTCACACTTCTCTTCCTCGCGCCACACCGCGCGGAGCGCCTGGGCCCGCGCTTGCTCTCGACCTCTCCATGACCAAGAGGAGGAGGAGGAGGAGGAGGAGGAGGAGGAGGAGGAGGAGGAGGAGGAGGAGGAGGAGGAGGAGGAGGAGGAGGAGGAGGAGGAGGAGGGGGAGGAGGTTTTTATCGAGTCAGCAGCGGAAGCGGAGGAGTTACTATTATCTCGACCATCGGGCAGCTTGCCACGAGAAGACTGCGCAGCTCTTATTCGCTACGCACACCACATAATATTCACACCCCCCGCACCGCCCATCTCTTTCCTCCGCCACTCGCCGCTTGCACCGCCGCCAGCCGCAAATCGGGCAGGAGTACCGCGGCCACCACGCAAGACAGTCGCCCAAGACACCGCTCAGCCACCCGGCCAGAGCGATCCGTGCCACCAGATCATTTGAGTTGGCCTGGGGCGGCGGAAGGTTGCAAGACCGTCGGAGAAGGCACCGTCCAGCCGCCCAGCCAGAACGATCGTGCCACCAGATGTGTTCAAGCTGGCCAGGGCAGCAGAGTGCCGACCAACAGCTTGTCCAACCACCCACGGCCTGCCTCCATCTTCCTTCGCTCTTTCATGTGTTCCTCGTTCTCCCCTCACGGGCTCCGCCGTCTCCGCGGCAGTCCCCTGGGGGTTCCCCCCTCTCCCCCTCTCGCTCCCCTCCGCCGTTCGCCGCTCGCAATGCCGCCAGACGCGCTGCCGTCTGCTGTCCTTTACATTGTTCTGCCTACACCAGCCGACTCCGGGAGCGACCGCTCCAGGAATCGCCCGGCTCATTCGCTCGATCAGCCCCCCAGGGCCGATCGGCCGTGGCGAGGCGGGGGGGAAGGCAAAGTCCGCTGGAACTTTGCGCCAGATGCTCACAATGCACAGAAGGAGGGAGGAGGAGGAGGAGGAGGAGGAGGAGGAGGAGGAGGAGGAGGAGGAGGAGGAGCAGAAGAGGAGTGGAAGGAGGAGGAAGAGGAGGAGGAGCAGAAGGAGGAGGGGGAGGAGGAGGAGGAGGACGGCAAGGAGGAGGAGGAGGAGGAGGAGGAGGATGGGAGGATGGGAGGATGGGAGGAGGAGGAAGAGGAGGAGGAGGAAGAGGAGGAGGCGAGGAGGAGGAGGAGGAGGAGAAGAGGAGGAGGAGGAGGAGGACGAGAAGGAGGTGGATGAGGCGGAGGAGGAGGAGGTGGAGGAGGAGGAGGAGGACAAGGACGAGGAGGTCGAGGAGGGCGGCGCGCAGGCTCCTGGACCTCCCAGGGGCTGAGGAAGAAGATGAGGACGGGGAGGAGGAGGAGGAGGAGGAGGAGGAGGAGGAGGAGGAGGAGGAGGAACACTTCCTCTTCTCCCCGCCTCTTGCCTCGGGAGCCCTCGCCTCTGCCCCTGTGTATTTTGGCAGTTTTCCGAAGTGTTGGCTGGGGCGATGGTGCTTGAGCCAGTGTGCAAAAGCAGCCTGGATCATCCAACTATGAAACCAAAGTCCCCAGCTACCATTGCGTGACGGGGATTTTCGCGGACCATTTGCTTAACTAGCCAACCACCATGTACTCTACGACATGGTGGTTCGGATTTCCACCATCGCGCGAACCACCAAGTGTTTAATTCCAAAGCTTCCATCCCTCCGCCCTCCTGCCTGAGATACGGGCCTTGCAGTTTTCGTTGCACAGTGTGTGTTTGCCTTGCTTCGGTCCTGGGGCCTTTGCACCCAGCTCAAAAGGTGCCGCATAGAGCTGGGGTTTCGGGCTCATCTTGCGATGCTCCGCGATGCTGTGTGTTCCGCAACGTCGGATCTCAGGGCCGTCCTCCTCTCCTCCTTGTCTCTTGCCTCGGGGCCGCCCCCCCTTCGACACCATAGATTGTTGTTCAGCCTCACGCGTTCGAGCGGCATGTCGCCGCTGGGGAGTGGGGTGGGGCGCACCCGTCGCTGTGGAACCGAAGCCGCTATATTGTACATGGGAGGAGGAGGAGGCGGAGGAGGAGGAGGAGGAGGAGAGGAGAAGGAGGAGGAGGAGGAGTAGGACAAGGAGGAGGAGGAGGAGGAGGAGGAGGAGGAGGAGGAGGATGGGGGGAGGGGGGAGGAGGAGGCGTCGCAAAGCGGCGAGGTTTGGGAGCAGCGCGGAGGAGGCGGAGGAGGAGGAGGACGAGGAGGAGGGAGGATGACCAGACCTTCAGCGTCTTCAGAAGTGTGTGTGTGTGTGTTTGTGCTTTTGTGTGTGTGTGTGCGTTTGTGTGTGTGTGTGTCTCTGTTATTGTTTTTTATTATTATTGTTGTTGTTGCTGCTGCTGTTGTTGTTGTTGTTGTTGTTGTTATCGTTGTTGTTGGTGTTGTTGTTGTTGTTGTTGGTGTTGGTGTTGTTGTTGTTGTTGTTGTTGTTGTTGTTGTTGTTGTTGTTGGTTAGGTTGTTGTTGTGGTGGTTGTTGTTGTTGTTGTTGTTGTTGTGTTGTGTGTTGTGTGTGTGTGTGTGTGTGTGTGTGTGGGTGTGTGTGTGTGTGTGTGCGTGTGTGTGTGTGTGTGGAATGTGTGCGTGTGTGTGTGTGTGAACGTGTGTGTGTGTGTGTGGGGGGGGGGGCGGGTGTGGGTGTGCGTGTCTTTGTGCGCGTGTGGGTATGCGTGTGCGTGTGGGTATGCGTGTGCGTGTGCATGTGCGCGTGGGTGTGGGTGTGGGTGTGGTTGGTGCGTGTGCGTGTGGGTTTGCGTGTGCGTCTGCGTGTGCGTGTGCCTGTGCCTGTGCCTGTGGGTGTGCGTGTGCGTGTGCCTGTGGCTGTGGCTGTGGGTGTGGGTGCGGGTGTGGATGTGTGTGTGTGTGTGTCTGTGCCTGTGTCCGTTCCTGTGGCTATGTTTGTGCCTGTGTCTGTGGGTGTCTCCGTGTCTGTGCGGACGCTTTTGCTCGCGCTCTTCGGCCTCCCGGGGGGGCCCCGCCGTGCCCCGGAGCTGTCCACGAGCGGCTCGGGAGGAAGCGTTTGGCCCCAGCGGGGAGGCCGGGAGTCTTCGGGGGGGCCGCGCGTGGAACGCGCATCCTGGCGAAGGGCCCAGCCGTGAAGGCGGCCCGGATCAGCAAGTCGGCCCTGCCAAGTCAAGGGTGCCCTCGTGTCCTAAGTCTCGCGGCCCGTGCCTCCTGCATTCCCGTGGCGACGTGGCCCTCGGAAGGGTTCCGTGTCCTCTCGCGCGCCCTGTCCAATCGAGGCCGACTTGCATGCAGTTGTAAGTGTCGCCGTTGTGGTCAGCGCCTCCGGTGGAGCTCCCTATGGGGCCGCGAAGCGTGTGAGGTGCCGAATTGGTGGCGGGGACGGGTGCGAACGCGTATGGAACAACATACACACTGGACAATGTATTCAGGAGGAGGCATGTTTGGGAGGAGGGCGGCACACCTACGGCCAGGGCTTTGGCTCAGCGAGTCGCGCCACCAGTTCTGGCCCACCACGCTTCGGTGCGACACGCTCACCACCTCCCAATCCCCGAGTGCCGCCTTTCCAGCACCCCGCGATCAGCTCGCAGGGCACAGCGTGTCGCCGGGGCCGCTGCGGCGACACGCTAAGCAAGAGCTCCTGACCGTGACCGAGCCTCGCCAGAACGCCACACTCGGGTCTGGAGATCGCGCCGCATCGCCGCTGCGTCGGCGATGCGGCACCATCTTGGGACCGTTTCTTCGATCCGTGCGTCGCCGACGTCTTGACGGTGCATCGGCGGTGTGGTGTCATCGCCCGACGCCAGGCAGTTTGGCCCCATTCGAGCGGCGGAATCGCGCGCAAGGTGTTCCCGCGTAAGGTCGCGCGTGAGCGCCCCGTTCTCCACGCGGTGTGCCACGCTGGCGGCCCGCGTAGATCGCGGCGTGAGGTCGCCATCCATCCCCGATGCGGGGCCCCCGGATGTCCCGACCCTTCCCTGGGCAAGGCCTCAGTGCAGCACGCGGCGATAGCCCCTGGAGGCCCAAGACGGCCAGAAGCCTCCCGTCGTGCTCTGTGCCAGGACGCGAGCATGCCTGAGGTGCCTTCTCGCGCAAGACCCGCCTCTCCTCCCCGCGCAGTCGGGCGGCCTCTGGGCCAGGCCCCGCGGTTCCCCCCCCCGCCGGCCTTCCAGGCGCCGCCGTTCGGTAGCGGCCGGGCTCTTCCTGTTCCCGGGTCCGTGTCTGCGCGACTGCTCCCTGGGCCCCCCCCCGAGCGTCGTCGGCGGCCGTGTCGTCGTCGGCGATGTCGGCGGTGGCCGCAGCTTATCCTCCTCCCCCTCCCCAAGACATGCTCGCGTCGTGGAACAACAAGAACACGACGAGAGGTTTTTGGCCGTTTGCGGCCCCTGGGCCTGCGGAAACGGTCGGGACTTCTGTGGGTCTTCTGCTGAAGCAAACAAGACGTGGCATGTTTGGGATTCTTCCGCCTTCTCCTCCCTTCTCCCCAGAGGTCTCCAGAGGCTTCTGGAGGGCCACACGGGGCCAGGCACGCCAGAGAACCTCTGTTCGAACCTCGAGATCCTCCCCCTCCTCGGCAGCGTCATCGGCACCTTCGGGTCCTCGGCGGCGCCGCCTGCTTTGGCTTCGTCGGCGTGTGCGTCGTCGGCTGCGGCCGGCGGAAGTTCGTCGTCGTCGGTCGCGCCGTGGTGGGCCGCTGCAGGCGGCGCGGCAGGAGCGGGAGCTGCGCCAGGCGGAGGAGCGGGCCCCCGGCGGCCACCGCGGCCGCCGCGGCGGGGTGGAGGCGGCGACCGGTCGCCACGAACCGAAGCCGTCAGGTCGCACATCGGTGGAGGAGGGGGGAGGGCGAGAAGGAGGAGGAGGGGGAGGAGGGAGAGGAGGAGGGGGAGGAGGAGGAGGAGGAGGAGGAGGAGGAGGAGGAGGCGGAAAAGGAGGAGGAGGAGGACCAGTGGAAACCCAAGAGTCATCAACGGTGTTGGAATTAAACCTCCCTCCAAGCTCCCTCTTCATAGGCCCCTACAACGGTTCATTTCCATTGAGGGAACTGCCTCGTTGGAAGACAACAGTTTGAAGATCCTGAAGCGTGCCAAAAAATTGTTCCTGGGACTTCAACTCCACGTATCAACTTGAGTGATGCGTCTTCACGATCCAGAATCGCACCAGAACGTCATTGTTGGGACTTCAACACAGCGAATTAACATAACTGTTGCGCCAGTAGAATCCTGACTCCTTCCAAAACAGTATATATGTTGCGCTGATCTTGGGAATCCGTGAAACTCTTGTAAATGTTTAAAACGGGTGTGCGCGGCGCTAAGGCGAGGGCCGCACTTTGAAAAGGAACCGCCCTCAATCCGTGAAGCTCGTGCAAATGTTTAAGACGAGTGCGCGCGGCGCTAAGGCGAGAGCCACATTATGAAAACGGCCCGCCCTCAAACCCGTGAAGCTCTTGCAATTATTTAAACGATTGTGCGCGGCGCTAAGGCGAGAGCCACATGTTGAAAACCACCCGCCCTCAATCCGTGGAGCTCTCACATTTTTTTAAGACGAGTGCGCGCGGCCCCAAGGCGAGAGCCACATTTTGAAAGCGACCCGCCCTCCATCTGTGAAACTGTTGTAACGTTTGAAGCTTCAGAAACATACATGGTGAGGAAGGCTTAAGCGAAACGCCTGGCCCACCCTAAAAACTTGCCTCGGGGTGCGACAGGGAGGAGTTATTTATAAGGAGAAGGAACGGAGGAGGAGGAGGAGGAGGACCAGCGCAATGCCAAGACGCATCAGCGATGTTGCAATAAAGAATAAAGCCTTCCCCCAGGACCCCCCCTCACAGGGACCTGCCAGAATGCATTCTCATTGCGGCCAATGCACCATTAGACGATAAGCGTCGCAGAATTCTTAATCGTGCCAAAGCATCAGTGGAGGAGGAGGAAGACGAGGAGGAGGACGAGGACGAGGAGGAGGCGGAGGAGGAGGAGGAGGAGGAGGAGGAGTCGCAAAGCGGCGATGTCGGTGAGCAGGGCGGGGAAGGGGAAGGAGGAGGAGGAGGAGGCGGAGGAGGAGGAGGAGCAAAGCGGGCGGCGATGTCGGGGAGCAGGGCGGGGGCGGGGGCTGAGGAGGAGGAGGAGGAGGAGGAGGAGGAGGAGGAGGAATGCTTTGTGATGGTGGGCAGTGGGCGAGGGTTTGATTGAGGTGGACGGGGAGACGGACCAGAGTAAGCCCAAGACGCGTCAGCGACGTTGCAAGATTCCCTCCCTCCAAGTTCCCTCTTCTTAGGCCCCTACAATTTTGCTGTCACTGCGGGAAGTGTCCCGTTGGAAGACAAGCGTCTGAGAATCCCCAAACGTTCCAAAGCACTGTTCCTGGGACTTCAACTCTGCGAGTCAACTTTATCCAACTGCCTGCGGCAAACCCCGCCACCGTAACTATGCAATAGCGTAGCAGGACGGAGGCTGAGTGCAGGAACAGCGCAAATCCGACGAGTGATTTGATAAGGACGACGGGTCGTGAACTCGATGTAGTCTTCGCCCGAGCGGTATGAAGGATGTCGCGTTCACATCTCGCGGCAGTTCAGCGAGTGGTCTAAGTTGAGGAGGGTCGTGATCCCGACATCGTCTTCGTCCGTGGGGTAGGGAGGAGGAGGAATAGGAGGAGGAGGATGAGGAGGAAGAGGAGGAGGAGGAAGAGGAGGAGGAGAAGGAGGAAGAGGAGGAGGAGGAGGAGGAGAAGAGGGAAAACATGATAACGAGGAGGAGAACGCTTCCTGGGGCCCTGGTGGGGACTCGTGGGGGCCTCCTCGGAGCCTTTTTGGGGCCTCTTGGAGGGCCTCTTGGTGCCTTCTTGGGCCGGCTTGGGAGCCTCTTGGGATTTCTTCGGCCATCCGAGGGAGTCGCTTGGCCCGTCTGTTGCCTTGGAGGCCCTCTCTGGACCCTCGCGGTGACCTCTTGGAGCGCTTCAGGGCAGTATCCGGGTCATCTTGGGAGCCTGTTGCGCGATCTTAGGGCCCTGTTGGGCCGACTCCTGCAGCGTGCCGTCGTGCCGCCACGGCGTGGCAGAAGCCACCTGGGGTCCTCGAAGCTCTACACGTACGACTCGACCGTGCCCATCAGAGAGCTCGTGGAGTTAAGCGTCCCTTCGAGCCGGCACGCACTAAGCACTAGCAGCTCGAGGCTCAGCTTGCCACGTCCTGTCAGTCAGTGTTCCAACCTCGTGCTGGGTTGGTGATGGCGGAGGATGATCACCGCGACCTCGCCAACAAGTTCAATCAGGAGTTGCCCTCGACCTCTGCGGACAAGGACATGTCTAAACCTAAGCTTTCCGAACACGGCCACCTTCGATGGCGATCTCGGAGGGTCCTTCACCAGATCTTCCGAGGAAGAGCTGTCTGCTGCGAACAAGGAGGCTCTCTCGGCGCGGGTGAAGCAGTTCAAGAGCGGCATCGCGTCGATGGCTACAGTCGTTCTGGCTCAGGCATTCCCTCGTGCTTCCAGCAGCAATGTACTTCAGAACGGCTCTTGCTGATGCGGGCCAATCTGCTTTTCGCGTTCATTCACTTCCTTTTTGCGGGAGCACACCACCACGTCCTTAGGACGTGGTGGTGTGCGCAGCGCGGCGTGGCGGGCGCGGCGTTGTGGTGTGCGCATAGTATGCGCAGCCATGGCGTGGCGCGGCGGGCGAGGAGAAGGATGGAGGCAAGGGAAGGCGCCCATGGGTCAAGCCCTGGGCCGACGGTTCAGGAGCGGACAGTTCCCGTAGTGTTGGAGCTGTCCACGCGCCACCCAAGCGCCATAACCCTCGCCATTGGCCACAGCTCGTCCCTGGGCATGCCAGTGGTGCTCTGCCTGCTGGTCCGCGCTGGTCCTCAGCTTCCAGGGAGCCCTCGGCCCGCGTGGTCTTGCGACGCATGCGGATGCAGGAAACCAGAGGCTCGGTTCTACTTCTCGCCAAGCAGCGCGGTGCTTGCAGTTGCGTGCCGAGGTCAAGTCGTCAAAGGTCGACTCTCTCAGAGCAGAACATCAAGCACTGGCTACTCGAATGGCTTTTAAGAAGAGGCGAGCGGGAGAGGATGGAGGCGCTCAAGCTGGATGAGGCAGAGGCACCAGCTACAGTGGCCCCCGACGCCGCCTCACCTGTCGAGTCAGCTGCTGCTTCGTCGACGGCCGCAACCCCGACGTCGACGGCTGCGTCGTCCTCTTCGTCGGCCGCTCCTGGCACTGCGGTCCGTGAGCGCGCCGTCAAGATCGCGGGCCAGTCTTCTGAGCCATCCCCGCTGGAGCCGCTGCCTCTCCTTCTCGCCTCTGCTCCAGTCTGCCACCCCGTGCGCGGGCTGATCTGCGAGCGCAGAGGGCGGCTGCTGGACCGTGCCCGCGCACTGGAGAGAATGGGCTATCCCCGCGCCGCAGCCAGCCCACCTCCCTCCTCCTCCTTCTCCTCCTCCTCCTCCTCCTCCTCATCCTCCTCCCCCTCCTCCTCCTCCTGCCCACCTTGTCGGTTCGTTTCATCGTGTTACCTGTCAGCTTGCACAGGTGCCAGTCGCCCACCAGTTTCGCACTGCCTGCTGCCGCACATCGGGTGATTTTGTTAGGCGAGACTGAAGCGCGCAGAGTCGCGAGTGTGAATCTGCCTCACGCGTCCATGCGCGCCGGGTGGCGGGAAAGGGGGGGGGCGGCGACGCCGCGGCCGCGGCTGTTCGGTCTCCAGAGTTGGGCCCAACATCTTCTAGGGGGTTTGTTTTTTGTTCGCCCAGGCGCGGATGGATCGTTGTTTCCCAGGTCCAGCGGTTTAGGTGGCTTTCGCAGTCTCGACCTGGCTGACCATTCGAGTGCTGCCCGAGTGGGCATGAAGAGCTGCGTCTAGGCGGCGAGCCTCGGGCGCGCATCGGACCGCAAGGGGAGACCCCGTGGCCCGAGGGTCGCAGACGAGACCCAGCGCGGCTTAGCAGGCGCTGAGATTCTTGATGACAAGGCTGGAAAGGGGCCATCCAGCCATTTCCTCTCTGCACAGGCTTCGCCTTCTGCCGAACTACTCAGTGGCGCGCGGGGCCCTTGCCATCGACACCAACTCTCGGAGAACTCTCGCAGGCCTCCCGGAAGAGTCGCAAGCCCATGGCTTGCTCGCCCAGGGGCACGGGTTACATGCCGAGGAGGACCTCTACCAGGCCAGTAGGTGGTGCCGGTGGTGCTCTCGCGTCGCCGGTTCCGCGAGATCCTGGTTTGGGTTTGTCCGATTTGTGAGGCGTCGCCTCGGCTGGCAGGTGCGTCGCTGGCCAGGTTGACCTCCCTGGCACGTCCCCGCATCTGGTTGCATCGGTCTACCTTCCCCTCTCGGAAGGCGCGAGTGACGCCAATCTTGGCGTCGTGTCCCGATTGGGAGAGCCGCTGTCTGACCGTCACCTGCCCCTGCCTGCGAGGGCGGATTTTCATCTTTAGCACGGGGAGTGGGATGCCAGAGCTTTCGCGGCCAAGTGGCAGGGCTGCCTCGTCGCCCCCAGCACGCGCGCCCATTTTCCCGCTGGCAAGCCCACCGCCCTCGATTATACTGTCTCGTCTATTCGGCTGGTCTCAGCAGCGGGATCCGTCCCATCTGCACGAGGCACGGCGCCGCTCTCTGCCCCCCCCCGCCCCGTGGCGTTGGTCTTCAAGTCGCTTCTTCCGGTCTTGCATGCCCCATCCTTTTGTCGGCCCCCCCCCCGCTTCCTCGCCCCCCCCCCCCGCGCTCGGCCCTCGCCCTGGGGGCCACTGCCGG